ATCTCAAGCATAGCAGTTATGAGTGTTTATGTAATTGTGATTTTTTTATTCTAATTGTAGTTGATTCTTTGCAAAACTGAAAATCATCTGTTGGAATGAGACATTGTGGGTTCATTTGGTTGTATAGAAGAATTTTAATTCATTACACACATCTATCTAAGATGATTAGTTTGGGGAGACAATTAAGCTTGTTAGAGTTTTACTTCATCCAGCCTTTCTTTTACTCTGTATCATTCAGAAATACAACAGCATGCAGTTAGGAAAATTAGTAATCACCTCTGCTGGAGTAAAGGCTTTTGAAAACTTCCCAGTGCCTGATGCATGGGTCGTGAGATGTCTTCAGTCAGATTGGGAAGACTAGAAGAGATTCCTAAGTGTGTCTGGGTTGTGGTAACTTTGCATACAGTTTTCTTCAGTGATTTTCTCCTCAGGCTTAGGTAGTTGCAAAATGTTTCCTTGCTCTTCTGTACTCATGGAGCCAATTTTATGGGTTTTCTTATAGATCCTAGCAGCGCTGTGACTATAAAACTCTGCTCAGGTATCATCCCTACTTCCTGTGATTCTCTTCTCTGTGGTCCCAACTCGCTGTCTCTGCCAAACTAGCATCTCTTCTACCTCACTTCAGGAGCTGCAAGACACAGCATGACACCACATCAGATGTTGGGATAAACAAGCTAATGAGTTTGTCGAACTAACCTGATTCTCGGGTATCACATATTGGTTGTCATTGCCTGATGTACAGTCTTTTCAGAACCATTGTGTCTTATATTTTACTTGTTTTGTGTTTTTAAGCTGTTTTTAGCAGGAGGTGGATTCATCTCACTCCACTTCGATGAACAGTGTAAGTCTCTTTTACCAAATTGTAATATTTCAGAAAACCACAAAATCAAACATTTTTATGGAATGAAGCAATGACTCTTAAAAATATTTAGAAGTCCATCATGATTGAATGCATCAGAGCAGATACCAGAAGGGCATTTAAATTTTTGTTGCTCAAATATGATGAATCACAAAGATCCTGTAGAATACAGCTTGGAAATACAAAGAAAAGAAGTCTGCTAGTCTGTCTTTCTGTTGCTTCACCCACACAACAAGGATTATTTGTAACACAAATTCATAGTTTTCCAGAACTAATTTTTATTTCTCTCCTATGAACATAAAAGATGCCCCAGAAAATTTAACAATTAATATACAAAATAAATGTTGTATGTGGAAAAATGCTTAAACTTTCATCTGGAGTAAAGGAGTTAATGGGGGACAATAAAAGCCAGCTTGGTCATTACTGATATATCAGTAGATCTCTCTACTTATGTGAGGAGAATTAGGGAAAATAATAGAATCTGAAAGAATAGAACAATGTAAAAACTTCAAGCAAATAACACAATGTAATGTCACTACAAGGAAAATAATTATTTGGGGAACTCAAAAAAATATGTTTCATTGATAAATCAAGAATTGTTTCTTATCAAATGGAGTAATAACAAGTGAGAAAGTGTCTGGAAATGTGCCCCAAAATTGTACTGATTTTCTGTTTTCTATACAATCATAATTGATTGAATAAGTCAGGAAAGCAAATTAATAAACTGTAAAAGAGAAACACAAAAAGTTTCCAAAATCCCAAAATAATGGAACAAACAAACAGAGATAAAGGACAGGAAAAAACTAGAAGTATGATGCATGACTGGCTTATTTGGGAAGTGTGTGTGTGTGTGTGTGTGTGTGTGTGTGTGTGTGTGTGTGTGTAAGAGAAAGGGATGGGGAGGAATCATAATTTAAGAGGCACTTTGTAAGTTGTACTAACTTTTAGATTCTATAATTAAAAGAACAAGGGATATCAACCAAATACAGCATAACAAGTTACAAGATTAGGCAGAACTTCATATCAAGTCAGGATAGGCAACCCAGTAAGAGGAAAGGGTCCAAAGAGAAGGCAAAAGAATCAGAGATACCCCTACAACCACTGTTAAGAGTCCCATAAGAACAACAAGCTACACAACTGTAACATATATGCAGAAGACCTAGCTCAGACCCAGACAGAATCCCTGATTGTCTCTTCCTTCACTGTGAGTCCCTATTAGCTATGCTTAACTGATTCTGTGTACCTTGTTCTCCTGGTGTCCTTGACCACCCTGGCTCCTACAGTCTTTCCTCCCTGTCTTCTGCAGGATTCCCTGGGCTCCACCTAAGGAGAGGCTGTGAGTCTCTGCTTCTGCTCCCACCAGCTGCTAGCTGTTTTATTTGTTTTCTGAGACAGGATCTCACTTAACCAAAGCTGATCTCTAACTCTGCATGTAGCTCCTGCTTCACCTATTTGGTGAGGTTGTGAAATCTCTTACATTGCCATCTTACATTTTCTTCAGGATTTTAATTTTTTAAAAATGTCATCATATTTTATTGTGATTTCAATTTTGCAATTCCCTAATAACACACAAAATTGATCATCTTCAAATGTCCATTTGCCATCTGTCTATCATCCTTGTTTTTCCTTTTTAAACTATTTTTGTAATTATATTATTACTAATTTTACCCTTTGCTTTCCTCTCCCCAAGCCCTCCCATAGAATCTTCCTTGATTTCTTTTCAATTCATGGCCTCTTTAGTATAATCTGCTCAGTCTATATAATGTGGTCCGTATGTATGTTTCCAAGACTGACCATTTGATATCAAATAACCAATTTATGTGCTCTTTCCTGGGGAAGACTATTGCCCCCGCTCTCAGAATTCCTTATTCTTTTGTGTGTGATTGTGTCTTCATGGGCTTTTCTCCATATACTCAATCATGACCATTAGTGTCAGCCTGTTTCATCTCATGTTTAGATAATCATATTGGTGACATTTTATGGGTGCAGCTTCGGACCATACTAGGAAACACAGTCCTGTGAGATTGTGTCTCCCTGACCTTCTGGCTTTTACAATCTTTGTCTACCCCCATTTCTGAAAGTTATCAAAACATTTTTTAATTAAAATAGAAAAATTACATTACATTCCCCATTCCTTTTGCATTGCCGTCTTAATATTATATAGGCTTTTCTTTCATGTTACAATTTATAATCTTCTGTTATATAAAGAAATATTTAATCCCAACTTTTTTAACATTTCAAATTAACATGTTAATTTTTCTCTCTGCTCACCCATCTATCTGAAATATGTTTGTGTATATGAATGTATGAGATTGAAATATCTGTAGATACTTTTTTAACTTCAATATAAATGTTAATTCAATATAATTAATTTAAATATATGTTTATACACAATAAGATTTTAAGTAATGTTACATTGAGTAATTAGCACTGCATAAGTAAATTTAAAATTAATTTTATTTTTATTCTTGAATATTCCAAGCTCTAAACTTGATAAATCTTCAATTTATTTTTCTTTTTAAATAATTTTAAGTAGACCTATTAAAAATTTTTAAATGAATGTGGCAAAACTTTTTGGTAAATTTCTAAGTAGTATGAATTTTTGTCATTTGAAATAGGTAATATATGCATATCATTTAAAAATACATTTTAAAATAATTATTTATTCTGTGTGTATGTGTGATCCTTTGTGCTACATACACATGCATACATACATGATGACACATCATAGCACTTGTGGCATGTGTGAAATCAGAGGACAATTTATGGAAGATAAATCTTTATCTGAAGTCATCAGATTTGGCAATAAGTGCCTTTACCTGCTGAACTGTCTCTGTGACCCCAGTTCATCAATTCTTAATCCATATACATGGATGTACATTTTTTAAAGTTTTTTTTTTTAGTCTTTAGTTTTGATATTTGACAATTAAATTTGTGTCTGGCAGTCTGACTAAATTATATTACTAATTATAAATTTCACATGTGTATTACGTTGAGTTATCTTCATTCATAGCATATTGTATATGTAATAGGTGGTTTGGTGGTCTGGGGATTATTTGGTTGTTGCTGTTTGTTTTTCCCAATCTGCTTTTGATTTGTTTCTTTATCTCTTTCTAAAGCACTCCAAATTGAAAAATACTGTAAAGCCACTTGCCTATTTCTTTTTCTTTCTATAAAAGAGAATACTGTCAATATCACTGTAAAATACAGTTTATTATAGTTTTGTGTAGATAGACTTTATCTGATTAAATATAAAATAGTAAAGCATTCCTTCAAAGAAATGCAGAAGAACAAAACATGAAAATGAAATCATAAACAATTGGGCTTTTGTCAGAGGAGGAAAGATAAAACTGTCCAGTTGCATAGATACTGCTTTAAAGAATAGATTGTTGAAACTCTTCTCATTAATTGGTTTTCTGGGATGAAGCTGACGTATCTCTAGAGATACATCTGTTAACTGTAGGCTGAAGGAGCTTGGGTATGCCTTTGAAAAACAGATTCATCAAAGCACTGCTGATTTATTCGTGTTAAAAGTCAGATCACTTACTCAAGTCCTCAGTTCTAGATAGGCAGGTCCTCTGATATAATGAAGATTCAGTGTGATTAATATTCCATCTACTCTGTAATTTACGGTATGGAAAGTCTTGTTCCCTTGTTTAAGCATTACAAGTTATCGAGTGCCATCCAGAATCTATGAGTTGGAAGAGGCAGTATGCAACCTAATAAAGACACTTGAAGGAAGTTGAGGCAGAAGGTTCACAAGGCTGAGGCTGGTGTTGTCTATGCAGGAAGTTTCCTGGGACTTGTTATAACCATGGCCTGTACAATGAGAACCCCAGCTTGCCTTCTTCCACGGGGGGGCGGGGGGGGGGACAAAGATGTGCTGGTTTGAATGAAAAGGCCCCCTAGGCTCACATATTTGAACATTTGGTCCCCAGTTCCTGGATTAGGGCATGTGGCCTTGCTGGAGGACCTTGGCACTGGGGTTGGGCTTTGATGTTGCAAAAGCTCATGCCAGCCCCACGCCCACGCCACATGTAACTTGTGGATCAGATATGGGTCCTGAGCTCCTGACCACCAGCACAGCATGTATATGTCCTCATTGTTTTGGGAAATGAAAGTCACAAGATAGAAACTTGACTGTTTTCTCAAAAACAGTCAAGTTTTGAAAAAAACAAATAAGGCTCCTGCAGAAAGAGTGCAGTTCCTCAGCCAGTGCCACACACCATTTGCGGGTACTGCTTTTTCTGTTAGGAAAGCACCACGTCACCGTTTCTTGGCTTGGTACTTTGTGGCTAATGTCTGCATTTCTAATGTTTCCCCTTCCACCTAGAGTCAATTCCACTTGTCTCCACTGGTTAAATTTTCCAAATAGAAATTGAGTCTCTTTCATTCTTCCTCCCATAATTTTCATGGGAAAGTACAGGTTTCCCATTTAGGTATAACATTTCTCATCTTTTTTATACATGCTTTTCAAAAACACTCTGGGTTTAAAATTCAGTCCTATAGATTCATTCCCTTTCTCCTTTCCCATTTCAGTATAAAACACTTTTGAATGTCAAATTTCTTTTCAAATACATACTTTGTGAAGAAATATCTTTGGTCCTTTAGTTTATGAATTCTTATACTTCACAAGTCAAGAATTGTTATCTGAACAACAAAATATGTGAATTCAACTAAAGTATGGCAACAACAATCTTCTATGTTGATAACCTCTCTCTTGAGTGACCCTAGTTTGATGTGTCTCCGACTGAAACATATAGAACATGTAAATGCAAGAGTCATAGAAATCACAACTGGCAATTAGAAATTTGAATCAAGTGGATGTCCTTCCTTTCAAAACAACCAACTTAAAAAACAACAACAACAACAAAAAAAAAAAACTTCAGTCTCCAAATAAGTTGGTTTTCAAAAAAAGAGACTTTTATAAGTTCTCCAAAAACGAAATTTTTTTCTTCCAAAGAAACCATTTCTGTATTTGGAATCCTGGTTCTGTAAGCTGGTCCACAATTTACATTGAGGATGTTCTAAGAACCATCATACAATTCCTCTTTTAATAAGATAATGGTGATGATGAAAAAGATGATGAAGAGGATGAGGAAGGGTGGTGTTGTTCTTTAGTCAGAAGGTTAAGCATGAAGGGAAGGTTTGGCAGGTGGTTCATAACTGTGTATAGTGTACAATGCTTTAGGACACAGAGAGTTGTTTATTGAACATGGCAATTGAACATGGCAGCCAACAAGGTGCCAGACAGAGCAATTTAGCACTGAAAAAAAAAATGAAGGTTCATGGAAAGCCAAAGTGTATCACAGACCATTCTCAGTGAGAGAGTGAGGCTGAAATAAAAATCTCTTAAAGAAACAATTATAAGGGGAGAAAGGGTGGTAACCCCTCACCCAGCTTGCGGCCTCATGAGGCAGTTTCATGTGCTGCTATGTCTTAGGTGGTTCCATCTCCACAGAGAGGGAAGACATATCTGTGTAAGCATCCTTCTGGGTTCTGAATCAGAACATCCTCAAAGCAACTAACAAACACGTGAGTAACAATGCATTCAGGAAAGGACGACAAAGAGGATGGACTTTCTGCAGCACTGATCTGCCATCAACACTGCCTGCTAAGAGGCCGGTGAAGAAATATTCCTAATGGTAAGGAGGCACAAGGCCTCTCCTCCCACTACCTGGGTCCCAAACAGATGGTGGCACATTGGAAGCATCATTGCATTCATTAAAGGGATGCATTAGTGTGACTTTAAAAAAGATAATAATCAGAAAGAGAACAAAGGAAAACACCAGGTAGGAAAAGAAAAAAGGAAAAAAGGGGGGGGAATAGAGGGAAGGGCAAGAGAAGAGGAAAAGACGGAAGGAAAACAGAAGAGAAAAAAAATTAAGGCTGTCCCAAGACCCATAATTCTGAGATGTTAATGCTAATTAGGGACACTTTCTGTTTAACCTCTGTTGTTTCCAAAGGATATAGCTAATTGCACCAATTTTGTGTAATTTACTATTATGGCCTTCAGATTAAAATAAAATTAGCAAACATGTTTAATATAAAATCATAACCATTGTAAAAAATACAACACATATATTAGAGGGCAAAGTTCATATCTCTAATGATATCATTTCTGTTTTTAAAGAAATTTCTTCATGAATTTTAAACAAAACACTTGAAAATAGTTACTCTTTATATGTGTATTTAACCATACATCTACTATATAAGTAAGAGTTTTGACAGCAATTACCTAAAAACCTTACATTCATAATTAGAATTGACTACTTCTAGCATTCAGAAGGAAACTAGGTTCAGTCGCACATATTTTTTTTTAAATCCATGTTTGTCTGAAGTGTTTCTCTGTTAAATCTAAATGTTGGTGGCTAGGGAGAGGGTCCGTGCAAACATAAGAGGCTGAGTTTAGATCCCAGCACCATGTACATACTGGATGTCCCATGGAGACACATGGTTTTAATCCCAGACATGGTGATGTAGAAACAGGCTCCTTAGACAGCCAGTTTTGGTGAGTCAGTGAGCACTAGGTTCAGTGAGAGATCCTGCCTGGAAAAGTAAAATGTAGCAGTGATTACAGCAACCTGATATTGACATCCAACCTTTACACACACACAAAACAAACAAACAAACAACAATACAAAAGGAGACAAAAACAAACTGTCAAAAAACAGAATATAAGCTGGGCAGTGGTGGTGCACACCTTTAATCTCAGCACTGGGGAGGCAGAGACAGGCAGATCTCTATGAGTTTGAAGCTGGCCTGCTCTATAGAGTGAGTTCCAGGACAGGAACCAAAACTACAGAGAAACCCTGTTTAAAAAAAAAACAACAACAGGATACATAAAGTGATTGTTTTAGATGCTGGATATTAGAAAGAGTATTAGGTTATTTTTCCAAGTTTCTAATGACTGCTCAACTGCCTTCCCTTCTTTCCTTCTCCACCTGGCTAGGGGCAACTTCTCTTTTGGTTCTTACCCAGTACTTGTTGCTGCTGGGCATAGCCTACTGATTTCCAGAACCCCAAAGCCTTTCTCTCCCAACAGCTGTTTTCTCACAACCTAAGCTTAGTTTGGCATACAGTACAAAACTCTCCAGAACTGCCGATTTGATTTCTATGCTCTGGATCACCATTCTGATGAGTATTGCTATCAGCCTCCTAGCCAGGGGGCCTTTCTTAAGATGTATCTAGAAACCCAGTTTTATTCTTACTCTCTCTCCACAGATTTCTACTGCTTGCTTGACTGAAAAGCGATAGCTGATAATACAACTAGATTTCTGCTGTTATATAAAATCTGTCTGATCTAACGTGGTCATCTATATCAATCAAACTTTACAAAAATTAGTGCCTATCCATGTGTCCACTTGTCTGAATCTCCACGTATTGGTTACTTTTCCATTGCCATGATAAGCACCATGACCAAGGCAAACAGTTAAATAAAGCGTTTGATTGAGCTTACAATTCAGAGGATGAGAGCCCATGCTGGAGTGAAGGCATTGAAGCAGGAACAACTGAGAGCTTACACCACAAACGCCAGCACAAGCCGACAGCACACTGGGGATGGCCAGCGTCTTCCGGAACCGCAAACCCTGACCTCAGTGACACACAGCCTCCAAGAAGGCCACACCTCCTAACCCTTGGCTGAGAGTTCCACTAACTGGGGACCGAGTATTCAAATACATGTGCTTATGGGGACATTTTCATTCAGACACCGGATTCCACTCCCTGGTCCTCATAGTCTCATAGCCATTTCATCATGGAATATGAATTTAGTCCAACTTCAAAAGTCCCCATAGCCTTTTATATTCTCAGCACTTTTAAAGTACAAAGTCTCTTCTGAGATTCAAGGCCAACTCTTAATTATATACCTATAAAAATCAAGAGGAAAATCACATGCTTAAAGACACAGGAGAGAAATGGAGACATCATGAGAATATACTGGACCAAAGCAAGAATAAAACCCAGCAGGGCAAACTAAATCCTGCAGCTCAATGTCCAATGTCAAAGATGGTGTTGCTCCTCTAGCTGTATTCTACAAAAAGACTATCTCTCTCTCCCTTTCTCTCTGGGGTTGGTTCCGCTCCCTGTCTGCACCTCTTCTTGGCAGATATTCCATACTTCTATCACCTCTAACATCTTGTGGCCTCTTAGGCAATGGAATCATTCCACTTCAGGCTTTACTCCCACAACTTCATACAGTGACTCTCCTGCCAACTACAGCCTTCTGTGGCTCTCCATAACTGTGGAAGAAGATGCAATGGCTCTTGTACTAGTGTGCCCTCTGTGACTCTAAAGCCAGTAGCACACAGATGACACTGGGAACTTTGGCTACCAGCTCAGGTTAGCCATGTAATCCTTGAGTCATATTTGTAATAACTTTGATTTGTAGTCTTTCAGTTGCAGAAAATACCATAGGCCCTTTTTTCTTTTCACAAATATGAAGTTGTTAAACACACCCCCTCTTTTATTCCAATACACATTAGGACTCTACTTTATCTTGTTATTTCTTCCATCACATTACATTTTCTGGTGCTCCTTTTTCTCTTAAACTATACATTTTATATTTCTTCCCCCCACTTTCTCCTTTCCATTATAAACCTGCATATGAGAGATTACTAATAACAACAAAAAGAGTCAATATTAAGCTATGTTGAAATCTTTACAACCAAAGAAATTAGTCCATTAAATTTTAATTTAGACTCAGTCAAATTCATGGGACAAAGGAGTAATGCAACCAGATTCTTTGTACAATATCAAAAGAATGGCCTTTAGCCTAGTTTTGTCGAAGTCCTTGATTCTCTCTTAAATCTCTGGAGCCTGGCTCCCACAGACCACTGAACTCCCAGTACTCCTGTCTTCAAAGCTCCTGTTAGGAGGGCCCACTAAGCCTGTTTATAGTGTTCAACTGCTTTTACAGTCCAAAGCCCTAAAGCCTCCCATATTCAAGAAAAAGAAAAAGGAAAAGAAGGAGGAAAAAAAGAAAGAGAAATAAAGAGAGAGAGAAAGAAAGAAAGAAAGAAAGAAAGAAAGAAAGAAAGAAAGAAAGAAAGAAAGAAAGAAAGAAAGAAAGAAAAAGAAAAAGGCCTGATAGGTATGTCAGAGCAATACCCAATTAGTGATATCAACTTCTGTACTAGTTATTTCTCTAATCCTGCAATAAAACACCATGACCAAGGCAACTTATAAAAGAAAGGTTAACTGGGCTTACTGTCGCAGAGGGTTAGAGTCCATGATGATGAAGTGAAGCCGTGGCAGCAGGAACAGAGGCGAAATTACATCTCAAACTGGAAACAGGAAATAGAGAGCACACTGAAAATGGCAGGAGTCATTTGAAATACCAAGTCCTCCACCAGTGACACACGTCCTCCAGAAAGGCCACACATCCGAATCCGTCCCTAACAGCTTTACCAACCAAGTATAGAAACATGGAACTATGAACGCTGTTCTCATTCAAATCACCACATCCTAATTTCACCTATTTCAATGACTCTAGTGTTTGTCAGAGCCTATGCCCACTGCTCCATTTGCTTCTACAATAAGTTTGAGGTAAAACTAAAATCCAACTGATGCAACAAACACATGCAAACACACACACACACACACACACACACACACACACACACTATTATTTTTATCATTTATGCACATTTTCTATTAATTCATTAAAAAAATAAAATTCAGAAGCAGTTTTATAATGTATCTCAATTACCTTTGAAGTAGATACCTCTTTTGGGGTTTGGGAGATGGCTCAGTAGAGAAAGTGTGATGACCATTCAAACATGAAACATGGGTCAAGGAACCCACTATCTATGTACTAATCTTGGCATGCATCTCTTGTCTTAGCACTGTAGGAACAAAGATGGACAGATCCCCCAAGCCCACTGAGCAGCCAGTGGACAGAAACAGAGAAGTCTAGTTTAAGTGAGAAAATTCTCAAGAAAATAAAGCACAGATGGAGGGAGGGAGGCCTCAAAGTCCATCTGTGGCCTCTCTAGGAACACACAGACACATGTGTGTACTCACACCACTTATACATATACACACATAGCCACATATACATATACACAAAACAGAAAAAGAAACAGAATACTGTCTTTTTAATCTACTGAAACTTATAATAGTTTCACCAAGTCCACATTGTACTTGTAAATAACAAATGCTGTCTGTCTGAGATTTTCATAAATAATAGAATTGATTAAATGTGTGATTTGATAAAAAGCCATAAAGATAGCGCATTTCCACAAAGGATATATTCATACAAAATTGCTAGCCTGATCTTAGTGAAGTTTAGTTCTTCATTTATACATTAGATATACAAGAAATGTGGAAATATGAGATTTTCCTCTGAAAGTGCTCTTATAGCAAATGATAACTGCTTTGCTAAATTTCTGAGCAATGCATTGTCATTAGAGAGAAAGCCTTTGGAATATTTTATGTAGATTTAGCCATCTGTTATCTTGACCACTATGATATTCATAGGTTCATGAATTTCAGTTGAGTTACTTAAGAAATAAATAATTGCTGTGTGTTTAAGCAATAAACTCAGCAGCAGAAGAAAACAAGCAGAGAAAAGGCATGGGAGAACACTAAACTCATTGTGTCTCAAATAGGCAATGGGAGTGATTTATTGCCGGGATCGGTCAATCTGTAGACCTCTCCAGACAGAGTTAAAACCCATCTGTCTTCCAGGCACATGGAATGTGGAATGTCTCAGAATAAGGCAACCAAGAAGAGCAGGACTTGCACTAAGCTGGAATCAGCACATTCCTGTTGAAATGTGCTCACTGATTTGAGTATTTGTGTATTTATATACACAAACATGAACACAGAGAAACACCCCAATTGTTCTAAGCAAAACAGATATATCATTGAACCAGAAAACAATATATTTGCAACAAAATTAGGCAGCAAAACGGAGCAGGAAATTACAATATCTGTCTGAACATATTAGCTCATTTCAAGTATGTGGAACATCAAGAACTGTCAAACTGTGATATAAAATCACTGATGATGATATTATTACTTTTTCTCAAAGAAATGATAAGGAGTCAAAGAAAAAAAGAATGGATATCAGTTTTATATACATGAGTCATTCGGTGGAAGCAGATATTGTATAGTTGAGATAATCTACAATGTTGATTTGAAGAAAAAGCTAGTTGCTATTTGATTTAGTGGAACATCTAACTTTTCTCAGTGTTGAATGAAACGTGAAAAAATATCTTATGATTCTGTACAGAAAAATGTTCTTTGGTAAACCAGTAAAGAAAATAAGCATATTACATTATAATCAACAACATCCATGCCAGAAGAGAAGAGGTAGGCATGGGAGCTGGACGAAGAACTAGGGCTTCATTGGGTGTTCATAGATACAGTGAGATGGCAAGGAGTGCTTTCCAGGAAGAAGTGGGGCAAACAGGTGGCAGGTTGGGTGTTTTAATGGGGGAGGAACACAGAATCACGGGCCCATGGTTTGAGTGGTGCCAGGAACTGATGATAACGGTGCAAGCTGAGGTCTGGAGAGATGACCTGGTGGTTAGAGCACTGCTTTCTTTCACAGAGGACCCAGGTTCGATTCCTAATATCCACAAGATCACTGCCGTTCTCACCTATAGTTCCAGGGGATCCAATGCCCTCTTCTGTGCTCCACGAGCACCAGGCATGCATACGGTGCACATGCATACATACAGGCAAAGCACTCATCCACATACAGTGGCAAAGGAAGTGGTTTTTGTTTGTTTGTCTTTGTTTTTGTTTGTTTGTTTGTTTGTTTGTTTTTAAAGAGCACAGTGTATGTAAAGATCCCTGGCTTGGAAATTAAGACCCCAAGCCAACTTAACAATTCTCAAGACTGTGATAAAGGGTGCTAAGGAAAAACCCAACACTTAAAAAGAAGCTCTTATCTTGAGGAGTTGAATGCTTGGCCCCTTGAGAAATGTAGAACCCAGGGCTTTTCCCATTCATACTGTCATGTCCAACACTTATGGCTAAAATGATTAAGAAAGGAAGAATGAGAAATGAAGATAAGGAAATGGAATCTAATTGCAATGAAGACAAGGATACTGTGCCTTTAGATGGATTCTAAAGGAAGAGATAATGAAAAATAAAATAAAATAATGATTTGTAAAAATCATGGTACGGATCACCTTGCTCTGATTCTATCCAATAAAGAACACTAGGTGTTCTCTCTATTCTATCATCTAGGAGTGATGGGCTGCATCCTAGTTTGTGGAGAGGCAAAAGGGTTTGTATAAAGAGTAAACATAATCAATCAAGATTACCACATTACTAGGTACCAGGAGAGTCCAAGCAATTACTCCTACACTCACTATGAACTCATGGTAATACCCAGTAACTTGCCCCAGCTTGATGCCTGCCAATAGACCACATAGCATAATCATGTGGGTGGTCCAATGCCCACCTTCATATGACAAAGTTCTTCAAGTTTTCAAAGAGAGTCAAAGAGACTATTACACACACACACACACACACACACACACACACGTTTTTGGAATATCCAACTTTCCAGGAATGATGGTAGTCACAGGGATGGAAGCCATGGCTGTGGGGATTGGTGATTCCCTACTAGCTCAACCAAGACAGAAAAAAATGTTTTTCCTTCATGCATGCTTTATCCAAGGTCTCCTGGAAGGATTGTTAGACCAAAGAAAATTGATATTGGATGTAACTTGAATGGTCCTTTCACTCTTGCTGCTTACTGAAGTGTTAGTAATATGTGGTCCCTGGGATCTGTTAGGCATTTAAATTCCTATTACCATCTTAGAGAAGGCTGCAATCCAAACAAGGTGACTGTGGAAGCTGTGTGTTCTATAGTTCATTCTAGTACTCTGGGGACTCCATTCCCTGTTTCATGATGTTTCTTTTCTACTCCATTGTCTTTCTGATATTCCCCATTGTGTTGACCATGGATAGAGCATGGAAAAGCTCATCTTCCCTGGCAACATCTGGCCAGCTGTGTGCATAGCAGTCCTAATGGAATTAATCCATGGAGTCTATTTAATGATCAAGGAATTTATTTGGGGGTTAACTCACAAGACAGAAAAAAGGAATTTTTCATAGTATCCTGGAAGGGGTGAGGCATGGTCCAAAGTGGCTGTCTGGTGAGCTCTGTTCTGGTCTGTACCAGCATGCAAAACTACAAGGTAGTGAAGAGAGAGAGCATACATGCATCCTTGGTCAAAAGGCCACCCCCCCCAGCAGCTACGCCCCAGGAGCATGTACTTTAAGGTCATAGGCAGGTGTAACAGCTACAGCTGCCCTACCAGGGGCGGTGCTTCAGGGCATGGCTCTAATAGCCACCCACTACATCTCCTCCTTTTGTCTAAATAAGAAAGTTCTAACCTAACACAAAACTATACATAATAGGAATGATTTTAAATATTAAACAGGAGAAATAACAGGTATTGACCTAAGCAAAATGGAACTACAACCAACAAAAACAACATCAAACAAGAGACATATACTAAAATCGAGAGATGTCCAGAACATAGGTAAATGGTATATTAGAGAGATTATTCCAACACCTGTCCTATCCTGAAGAATCTGAATCTAGTACTTAATATGTTCTAGCTATGATATGAGAATATTGTAACTGTAACTGTTAGTTTTCAACCCCATCAAAGACCTGAGAAGGAATATACAAATACCTATTAAAAAAAAAAAAAGAAATGTATGTAAGCAACTTTTGGAAATCTTTCAAGAATAGACAGAGACAGCTGGCAACCTGGACAGTCACCTAGTTTCTCAGCACCATTGGGGCATCCAATTTGGCTACAGGTCTAGAATATCTGACAGAACATTTCTAGAAGCAGGAATTTTGAAAGACCATCTTACCCTGTCATGGCAGAGTTCAATAGTCTCTTTTCCTTGTGTCCTGATCATCCAGAAAGGACAGCATTTGTGCTGTCAGCAGTCAAGGTAAGAGCAGTTCTTTGTCCAGCAGACCATTGTACCAGGAGGAAGACAAACTTTCAAATGAAGTATCTTAAAAGCCCAACAGTGCCGGGCGGTGGTGGCGCATGCCTTTAATCCCAGCACTGGGAGGCAGAGTCAGGCGGATCTCTGTGAGTTCGAGGCCAGCCTGGGCTACCAAGTGAGCTCCAGGAAAGGCGCAAAGCTACGCAGAGAAACCCTGTCTCGAAAAACCAAAAAATAAATAAATTAATTAAAAGCCCAACAGTGTCTCAAGATCAGATCAGTGCTGCCAGGAGCAATTGTGTCTCACATCAACAGAATTTTAAATTATTTAAATGCCATATTCTCAAGGTCTGTGAAGTGTTTGAAGATTACCTGTCCATCTGACATATGTTTCTGTAAGTCTGGACAACCTAGCTAACAGAACTATAGAGATGACAAGCATGGGTGACTATAAATCTGTAAGTCTTATCTACCTAAATAACCTAAGAACTAAGACTTCATATAAACAAGGTAAACATTCTGTAAGTAAATGTATAGTACAAGGACAATGACCTCAAAATGGTGATAATACACAAAATATCTTAAACAGAGGTAGAAATATGTAATGCATTATGCAATATGACAACAATATGTATCAATATACAAAATATTCTAAACAGAGGTAGAACATATGTACAGTATGACAAATATAATTTTACATTTGGATCAATATACAAGATATTTCAAATAGGAGTAAAAATATATGTATAATACAAGAAATATAGTTTTGTATTTTATCAATATACAAATTATCTTAAATAGGAATATAAAAATAGTTTACATTTGTATCAATATACAAGAATCCATAACAGTGCAAATTATCTAAACCTGGTATTTTTTATAAATTAGTTTACTAGTATATACAATAACCTACCTTAATATTTTATACCTATCCATTTGCCAGATAATGAGATTAATCCATGGAGTCTATTTAATGATCAAAGGAATTTATTTGGGGGTTAACTCACAAGACAGAATAAAGGAATTTGTCGCAGGATCCTGAAAGAATTAGACAACTATCCAACGAGGTTCTCTGGCGAGCTCTGCTCTCGTCTGTACCAGCATCCAAAACCATGAGGTAGGGAAGAGAGAGAGATCGTACATGCATCCCAGGTTTTAAGGGTCCCCCAGTGGCCATGTCCCAGGGGCATGTACCTCAAGGTCATAGGCAAGTGTAACAGCTACCTGCTACCTCACTAAGGGCAATGCTTCAGGGCATGGCTCAAACAAGCTTATTCCCTGATTGCTATCTTGGTAGTACATTCTTTCTAGTTGTTCCTCAGGGAGTTACTTACCTCTGGGAATGATTAGTAGCCCCGCAAAGTAGGTATCCAGATATTGTTGAAATACTATTAGTTTATTTCTCACTCGTGTTGCTGGAAGATTATAATCTCCAGGTAGCTTAAAATTGGAGGTGACAGCACCAACTTGGACTGGGCCATGCTAAGGAGAGGAGTTGAAGCAGGCTGCCTTTGCAATATCAGTATATTTTTGAGACAGTTTGATAGTGGCAGACCTTTAATCCTAGGAATAATTGGTTGTAAGGAAGTTTTGAGAGGTGTCATAGTATACAATTCATTTGTTACTCCATACATTATCAAACCCAATACATATTAGGAGTCACTCCCAAGTATCAAAATAATAGCAAAATGTTGCAAAATTCTGATATTTCTTAAAGACTTAAAATAATGATGGGATATGTATATACAAGCATGCATTTTGGAATTCTGAGAATTATATAAACTGTAAAAATAACTGTTACTTATACTTCTCAAATAAGGATGCAAGTTATTTGTAGGGATATAGAATTAGATAGAAGACACCTTTGAAATTTAACAGTGCTATGGTAATTTAACTCTTTGAAATACTATATCCTAAAGTCTACAGGAGCTATTTCTTCTGAATGACTCTTACAAGTCATGGTATTTCAGTGGGGTTCAAAAGATGAGTGCTTTGTGATATTCTATTTCACTGATGAAGAGAGTAATCTCTTGAAAACTAAACAGCAATTCTAAGTTCAAATAGCAGGTGAAACGACTTGAATTTAAGTTATGATATTCATCGTTTCAAAGTAGATTTGCTCCCTGGCACTTACAATATTTTTGTTTGGCATTCATTGTAGCCAGTAATATTTTTCTTTTTATCATAGGTTAAATGAAATTAACTATCAGCTTAGACAATAGCTTTTATATATGTATATTATATATAGTATATAGAATTTGATGTCTCATTAATTGCATTAGATTGAACTTGATGGCTTGCCATATTTAATAATTGTTTAAGATTACAGAGTCCATGTGTTTTTAATAATATTAACATAGAAATAATTAACCTGGGGAACTTGAAAACAATGTTAGTGATCAGATTGCACAGTCACTACTGTGAATGGATGGATCGATTCCACCAGTGATAGAAAAATCCAACCAAATAAAACCTTTCTCACCTCATTTGTGTGTGAGTAAAGTACAAACCTTGAGAGAAATTGATTTGTGCTAATTAGATAGTCAGTTCAGAGTGTTAGAACCAGTTACACCTTTATGATTACCTTTATCTTTAGAATTTACATGTTGAGACAGTTGAAAATAATTGTTTTCTTTTTTCTGGGATGCAACATAATTACCTCAGTATTTATACACTGTTATAACAGTAATGCTGCTTTCAGTGGTGGGGGAACAGGAAGAATGTGTCATTACTGCTGAACTGTACTGGGAGGCTTCGGAGAAGTTCTCCCCATGCTCCTTCCTTCTTTATATTTCTTTCCTTACTCATCTAACAACTCAAGATCAGCCTTAGTGTGCACATATTGTCTTGTGCCTAAAACATGTTTAATACATTTTATATTTTTCTTGAAATATAATTACACGATTTTCCCTTCACTTTCTTCCTTCTAATCATTCTTACAGAGCCCCTATCACTCACTGTCAATTACTGGCTTATTTTTCTTTAGTTTTTATTGTTTCAAACATACACTTACACACAGGCACACACACATGCATAGAAATACAACATGCTGAGTCCATTTACTATTACTTGTTTGTTCATAATCTGGACTGACCGCTTAGAACTGAGTAAACAACTAAAGGGCTCATCCTGGATTAAGACTAATTCTCTTGTTCTCTGCAGACCTTAATCACCTATAGATCTTTTATTAAGGATAGAGCTCAGTGAGAGTCCCCGGGCCAAGAGAGCATGTATACTGGTGTTGGCATAATTCAAGTCTTGTATAGGTATTCATATTGTTGATGGATCATAAGTATTGGCTATTCAAAATGGGAAAATTCCATTTCATATTAATAGAATTTTAGTGTTAAAATATATGAGAAGAATTACAATTTTTAAGTAGAAAAATATTTAATTATATGCAAATTATTTCCCAAATAAAGCAGGATATTATATTCATTACATTTTCAGTAACCAAACATTAAATTGTGCTAATTTTGTGTTTTTATTTTATTCATTTAATTCTGAAATAGGTAATATTGTTTCTAATATCAAATAAATAAGTGTTTAGATAGTGTACCATGACTTTGGTTCAGCAGATCAAAAATAATTCTTGCATTGTGACCATTGGATTCAACTTATAATTATCTCAAAGCTTAGAAATTATTAACAATATCTTCTTAAACTTACTGAGTGAATAGTCAGTTATCTAAATATATACACATGTAAGTGTGTGTGTGTGTGTGTGTGTGTGTGTCGTCCAAAGCCTCTTTTGTTTTTAATCTTTTATTGATTCTTTTTGGATTTCATATCATGCATCCTGATCCCATTCATCACTCCATCCCTTCATATTTACCCTCTGGCTTTGCAACTCCCCACCCCCTAATAAGATAAAATTGAAAAGAAAACAAAAAATAAAAAGCAAAAGCAAAAACAAACTACAAACAACAAAATGTTTTTTGTGTGTATGTATGTTGGGGGAAGCTATAGCATGACACAGTGAGTCACACAGCATATCCTTTAGTTCGTACATCTTTACTTATAAGTGTTCATTGCAATGAGTCATTGGTCTGACTCAACCCTCTGGCTTCTGCTGCATCCTCAATGCTGGACCTTCACTGGACTTCTCTCAGATATCCTGTTGTTGCATTGTGTCTGGAGCTTCTACAGCTCTGGATCTGTAGATCTAGCTCCTTTCCATGCTCCAGTAGTTCATAAATGAAGTGGATGTTGTTGTGGGCCAACTCATAGCCCTGATTCTAGGCCTGGGTGGTAGCTGGGTTGCCAGCAGTCCCTCATCATCACTACCGGAGCAGGATCTCCAGCTAGCTCACCCAGTGTAGCCGGCAGCATGGGGCCAGTTCTACTGTTCTCATACCCTTAGTCTGGCTTGCCTGATCCCACACCACCAAGGTCAGCTCTACTGTTTTGCCCAGGTGAGGTGCAGGTCCTGCTCTCCCATGTGCTGTAGTTGGTAAGATTCAGGAACAACTCTCTCACTCTTGTGAGCCCCAGGGCCAGCTCTCCAGCCTGTAGCAGGTAACAAGGTATAAGAGATGGCATCTATCCCCCACCCATACCACCACATGGTAGATTGGGGGGAGGGGGTCAGCTTACCTGTGCTACCCCATTCTCCATCTCCTACCCCAAAAGGGTCAGCTCTATTGTGTTGTCTGGGTGAGATACAGTGCCTGCTCTCCTGAGTGCTGCAGCCTGTGAGGGGCAGGGCCAGCCTTCCCACTCCTCTGAAGCCTCTTAATGACTATCTTCTGGAGAATAACTTAAACCTTACTCTCTGTCTTTGTTACTTTTCTACTGCTCTGATACAAAACACCATGACTATAACAACTTATAGAACAAAACTCTTAATGGGGTCTAACATTTTCAGTAGGTGAATCTATGATCATTATGGTGGGGATCATGGCATCAACAGGCAAGGTGACCAGCAAGCATGAGGTGGAAAAAGCCAACTGGGAAAGCGAGGGGCTTTGAACCTTAAAGCCCACCTCACGTGACACTGCCCTGGCCAGCAGGCCTTCAACAGGAACTCGACCACCC